AACAGACATTTCGAAGTTATTTCAGATAGAACCAGGTATGTCCAACCCAACATACACCAGCATTATTATAGGACAATTAGAAAGCAAAGTTGGGCCACACAGACTTTTCAGTAATAAATTAGAGAAAGAGAGCCTCTAAGCAAACATCTAGCAGCTGTTCAGGTATTACATTGCAAATTTTTCATGGCTTGGGAGAAAAGGAAGAAAATTGACAACTTACATTGGCTTCAGCTGCTGGATTCACATTGCCATTCACAGAAAAAGCTCCACCAAGAAGCACGATCTGCCCAATCTTTCTGGAAAAGGTTGGATCTTGGTGAAGAGCCTGGATTACACATCCATTTGACAACTTATGAAAAAGCCATTGCCATACAAGCCCTTTTTTTTTTTCTCGACTGAGTGAAACAAGCATGACAAAAGTTCAAATATCTGACCAGTGCTATATTTGTGAGTGGGCCCAATGCAACCACAGTAACTTCCCCGGGATAAAGGTTTGCTTGCTCAATGAGAAAAGTGGCTGCTGACTGTTCTATTGGTTTTCCTTTTGGTGGTGGGAAGTTTTGATTGCCAAGACCATCAGTGCCATGGACAAAATCCGCAATTCGAAGCTTTGTACCTTTCTTTAGGAGAAACAACGATGAAATCAAACAACTGCTGATGTTTCTTTAAAGTAAATAATTGGGCTTTAAGTCATTTAGAAAGTGCATGAGAATCAGCTCACAGTCAGAACGCCATCCCAATTTATCAAACTTAAGTATGAGATCTGCAAAGTTACGGTTCAAGAACATCACAAATATGATGTAAGGCATCCAAGAGTTCCCAGTAATTATTATGAAGAACCAAGAGGTAGCCCTGCGGTGTTTTCTTGCTTTACAATATAAACTTGCTATGGTGATAACAAGAGATTCTGTTGCTTAGTGAGCAATGACAAATGAGAGCTGCCCACACTGAGAAATAAAACGAGAGGACTCGCAAGCCTCTTCTATCCTAGGAAACCCATTACATGTTGAATGCACCCATGTACCAGGACAAAGACACACACAGTAACCGAAATGAGTACAAAATCAAGGTCCCTCACATGTGCTGGTGTTGACACTACCACTACTACCACCACCTGGTTATATCTACAGATTAAGATCCTATCAATTACTTGACTATGTTTATCCCTTCACTTCAACAGCATATGCATCTCAACACCCGTCTTTTTGTCAAGGTAACGAGTCATGATTTGAAAAGCCTATATCGAGTCTAAGCGATCAATCGGATCCCCAGAATCCTATATGGGCAAACCACGACAAGCACGCAAGTAGGAAAGTGCGTACGGTGATTGTCACATGGGACCCTTCAGCCACAGGGATGTCGGTCCGTCCTGCAACCTCCAGCTGCACCACAAAAAAAAAAACAAACACACACACACAAGAAAGTAAGGCCAAAACGTTTGAGCCACAAAAAATGTCAAATTACATCGAGATCGATTCTACAACCAACACCAGAAAAGTTCAACGTGAGTACATGAAATCCCGGAAAACCTCCCGCAATAAACTGTCACCCACTACCACCAAGTACACATACCAAATGCAAGGCGTTTCTGGTGGCCAGAGTCGTGTAGACGTTCCCGTATATGGTGGTGAGCCCAATCACCTCCACCTCCGGCGACTGCAGCGCGACGAAGATAGCCATGGCATCGTCTGAAACGCGTCGAACCGAGTCATGACCGTCGAGAATCGAGACACACCCACGATCCAAAATCGGGCGATTCGACGGAAAATATCGAAGCTTTACGGGTGTCGAATTCTACGTACCGATGCCGGGGTCCGTGTCGATGATGATCTTCTTCTTCTTCGCGGCCATGCCTTTCGCCTTGACCAAACAGCGCCGTGCTTGTTCTCTATGGCAATATGACTCGGCCGGATCGAGAGGATGTCCGCCGGGAAGGCGGGTCCACGATGAACTCGACTTCTTACCCGATCCACGTGCAAAACGGGAGGAACTTTTTTATTCTTCTTAAGCAATCATCATTTAGGCCGATAGGAATACTACTGATAAGAGAGATTAAAGAATGCTAGTATTATAGGCGTGGAGTTCGACTTCTGCGTTCTGCAAGATACGCGGCAAAAGCTAGAAAATGAGAAGAGTTATAAATAAGATAAATAAAAAAGAAGCAAACTTCAATCATTTATGATCATGTTCTTCGTGAAATCATTAAGAATATTCATAAATAAAATATAGGATTAATACCATGAAAAAGCTTAAATTAATACATTTGTGATAATTTTACCAAAAACTAATTTTTTAACCACAAAAAATCCCTAAATTGATACACCCATAATAATTTTACCCATCGCTAATTTCCGTTAAATTTTACCGTCAAATTACTAAATTGGATAATGCGTGGCAGTTGACGAGTGTACCGGTTTGGAATTTTATGGTCACATGTATACAGTTTGTGGTTTTTTGTAGTATTAATCTAATTTAACGAAAGATAAAGTTGTCATAAATGCACTAATTTGAGATTTTGGGTAGTCAAAAAATTAATTTATGGTAAATTTATGGATTAAATATCTACATTATATATGTTTCATATGAATTCGTAACAAAAAACAACTTGACATTGAAATGGTTCAATATCTATATTACTTACCGGAGATATCTCCTCCTATTGATATCAATATCCCTAGGAAATTCAAAATCCAAAATCATCCAATTACATATTTTAGTCCAGCAATCAACATATATGCTAATTACATGATGGATAGCGTTGTCGATAACATGTTATTAGATATTATATGTATATCCATAAGGTATTGTTATATAATTAGCTATTTATTCATTTATTTGTATAGTTAATATAACATAAGCTACGTATATACATATATATTACAATATGGTACAAAGTTTCTATAGCAATTAGTCATTAATTATTCATGATTGTACAACATGCAATTATGAACATAATTTATGTATTATTAGCAACAATTATAATTATTATAGTTTTAAAGCAATTGCCTCACTTTAGTATCCAATTTATTTTAGAAATTTATATTATAACAATTTGAGTTAATTTATAAGTATTATAATTATTAAAAAAAAAAAATTTGAATAACCCAGGAACCCCCCGCACGACTGACAGCCGGAGGAGTAAACCTGGGGTGACGCTAGCGGAGGACCCACCACCACGGCGCCACACTTAAGAATCCCTAACGACTACGCTGGGGTTCGAACTCCGATCCCTTCGTGGGGGGATAAGAGCGCAAGTCAACGCAGCCGCTGCGGGCGGTGGTATTAAAAATTATTTTATTATACACAATTTTCAAAACTTGAGAGAATTTTTTTATGCTATCAAAAAGACATGTTTTTAGATTTTTTTTTCTTACTCGATTGAGATATTGAAAATAAGAAATAATAAACAAATGCTCACATGACATAAAGTGCTCTCATTAGATAAATAAGATTGAAATTATCACTTTCTTAGAAAAAAAAAAGAAAGAAAAACACGTGGATTTGGGAAAAGAAACTCCCACTCCTTCACTCACGTATCAATTTAGCATTCACTACGTGTATGTAGCCTGCATTTAGTAAGACTTTTGGAGAAAGTCTTTGAGAAAATGCAAAGAACTTTAGGTGAAAGGGTTTTTAACAGGACAAAAAAAAATTCGGGTCAAAATTATCCCCCGACCTAAAATTAGTATATTTTTATGGGACAAAAAAAAATTAGAATTAGAATTGTCTCTCGATCTAAAGTTGATAATTTTTTTTTTGGGTTAATATCACGAAAAACCCTAAACTGGTACACTTATGACACATTTACCCCAAATTATTTTTTTTATCATAAAAAATCCCAAACTGGTACACCTGTGACAATTTTACCTCGAACTATTTTTTTGACCATCAAAAACCCCAAACTGGTACATATGTGACAATTTTACCCTGAATTAAAATTTTAATATTTTTATTTTTATTTTTTTCGAATTTTTATTTATTTTATTTATTTTTTTCCTTTTATTTTTTTTTTCTTTATCTTCAACCTCTGGCCGGTCGCCGGTCCGGCGACCGGCCAGAGGCGGAAGCCGACGAGGGCGGCCCTTGCCGGCGTCGGGCGAGGGCCGGCGTCGGGCGAGGGGCCGCCGCCCGCATCGGGCGAGGGTCGCCCTCGCCGGGCATCGGGCGAGGGTCGCCCTCGCCGGCGTCGGGCGAGGGTCGTCCTCGCTCGCCTAGGGCAAGGGCGATCCTCGCCCGACTTAGGCGGTTGCCGAGGGCGACCCTCACTTGCGTCGGGCGAGGGTTGCCCTCGCCGGTGTCGGGCGAGGGCCGTCCTCGCCAGCCCAGGCAAGGGCGACCCTCGGCCGACTTAGGCTAGGGTGACCCTCGCCTGTGTCGGGTGAGGGCTGCCCTCGCCGACTTCGGGCGAGGCAGCCCTCGCTAGATCCTGCGAGGGTCGCCCTTGCCAAGTCGAGCGAGGGCGGCCCTCGCCGGCTTCCGCCTCTGGCCGGTCGCCGGACCGACGGCCGGCCAGAGGTTGAAGTGAAGAAAAAAAAAAGAAAAGAAAAAATAAAAAATTCAAAAAATAAAAAAATTCAAAAAATAATATTAAAAATTAGTTTGGGTAAAATTGTCACATGTGTACCAGTTTGGGATTTTTTGTAATATGTTCGAGGTAAAATTGTCACAGGTGTACCAATTTGAGGTTTTTTATGGTCAAAAAAATAGTTTGGGCTAAATATGTCACAAGTGTACCACTTTAGAATTTTTGGTGGTATTAATCTTTTTTTTTTTTGTGTGGAATTAGGCCTACATACTTGCTCTCAGGAACACCTGGCAATTTCCCATTGGGCCACCGCCGTGCTCCCTCCCACCCGTTAACCGTTTGTTACTTTTTCTTCGTCGTCACGCGGCATCTCGTAATTTCGGATGGATTTCGAGGGTGAAAATGTCCAGAAAAGTGACCCCACATTTTCAAATCAAATCACACACTATCGGGCCTCACTGAGATCCATCCCCCTCTCTCTCTGTCTCTCTCTCTACTGTCTCCGACCATGAAACGGCCGTCGTACTCCTCGTCGTCGTCCGACGGCCAGCGGAAACGCGCTCCAGCTCCGCCGCCCGCGGCGGCGGTTCCGGGGAGGGCGAAGGACCAGGCCGGCCGGAGCCCGCTGCGGCACCTCAACGGCATGGTCTGCCACGGCCGAAGCAGCAACGCCTCCTCCTCCTCCTCCTCTTGCTCTTCTTCTTCCACCGCCGCCTCCATCGAGGCTCCGAGAGGCTGCCTCAGGTTCTTCCTCTCTCACTCTTCTTCGACTAAGAACGGTCCCGGTAGAACTTGTGCTGCGATTAGGACGCCCAAATCGGCTCCTGCAAAGCCGGCGAAACGCGATCTCCAGCGCGATCGCGCTGCGAAGATGGCCAATCTGGAGGTACCTAGAGCAGTCAAACAGCCGAAGCTCAAGAGGAACCCTCCCTGTCTATACCAGTGGCAATCTGCTAAAACTGCCACTTCTAGGAATGGCAAGAAGTGCGGTAGTTCCTCTGTTTCTGAAGCTGATGGCAATGTCGCTGCTGAGTTTCCATCCGGTTTCGAAGCGTTGAAGCAGGAACGGATTGAGCTTGATTCTGCTGGAAATGGTCATGCTACTTCTACTCCAATTAATAAGAGATCTGGCGGAGTAGAGACACCATGTCTAAGTGATGGAAATGTGGGGGAGAACTCTAGTAATAGCAAAATCAAGACTCCTCCTATCCAGGCTTCCGTGTCTCCGGAGATACAAGGCGGGTCAGGTTTGATGAACTATTCCGGAACGATCACGTCAACGGGAGGCACGCATCCTTGTTTCGGTGCTGGCTATGTTGTTTCGGGAGTGGCCGATAGAAGAAAATGCAGGCCTAGGGGGATCCTTAGTGTTAGAGAGAACGAGTCGGAATTCAGCGTTAGTGGTAGTCACGGCAATGATGATGATAGTAGGGTTGCTGACAAACCTAGCATCTCGCCAGTACCTTTACTATGCGAAGCATCCGTGCATTGGTTGTTGTCTCCATGTAATGAGGAGGACGAGGAGCAAAAAGATTGTTCTGAAAATGAGTCATGCCCATTTGAGAGGTTTGAAGAGGAAGGGTCTGCTCTCTGTTCTCTTACTTCACCCTCGTCTGGTCCTGTGTTTTCTTCAGATGCTGGTAATAAGAGTAATATGACATGTACAACGACAGGTACGGATGGCAGTAGTAGGGGAAGGGATCCTGAGGTGACTTCTTCAAGAGGACTCCTTGAATTTGATGGATTCTTGCAGCCTTCACAGTGTAATGGTGATGTTTACTCTCCAACAGAGGTGACCCCTATTTGGAAGGATTTTTCTTCGAAGGAAGAAAGGAAATTGAGTTACGATGTTGATCGACTGGATGACCCATTAACTGCTGACTCCCTGGGCAGTGGAAATGTTATTCGAACCCCAAACTCAGACTCAAGTTCAAACGGATATTTCCGCCTGTTGTGGGTTAATGCTCAGCATGGGGGGAAGGATCAAATAGATTCCGAGATAGATCTACTGACTCAATCTTTTAGTAATGCCACTCTATCTCCAGACTACTCTAGGTCTACATGGGATTCAACAAATCTGAATTTCCAGTTAGATTGTCTAGCGATGCCATCCAACTCCATTGATTTGGCACAAGTTCAAAATGTTCTTGATAGCAAAGTATATTGGGCTTCCAATTCCAGCATAGACAATTTATCACAATCCAATTTGAGGATATCTTGGAGAGATGGTTTAGTTAATAGGATCTTTGAGATGGATGAGAATGATTTTTGCAAATGCTTGTCTGATGATGAGGATGCCACTGGCAGCCATATTGATCTAAAGTTGCATGAAAGTCCCACACATAATGTAAATACTCAGAATGTCGCTGCTGAAAATGTTAACGATAACATTACCTTAGGCTCAAATCATTTTGTGGATGAGAAGCATGAAACTGGTCAGAAAGTCGAAGACATGCATTCCCCTCAAAAACAATTCGAATCAGTTGAGTCCATAAGCTTTGATGGAGGTGGCCTTCTTGCTTCAACTTCAAGTGATTCAGACTGGAATCTATGCTACAAGAACAGCTTATTCAAGTAGAAGCATCGGGATCATTTATGTAGTCTTGACCAAGGTTAAGTACTTGAAATATAACATGAGGGAGGTTTTCCTTCGGTGCAATCTAAAGATTACCACTTCAAGATCACTGGTGAATTCTTTTCTTTCTTCATTCCAATATGCATTTGCTTTCTGTAACTGCTGAAATGTAGTTCAAATTTGTCAGCATTCAAGACGGCAAAAAACATGCATTTGACAGATTAGTGTGTTAGAATTTTTATGGGCAAAATAATTAGATATTAATCTGGAATGTTGGGGTTGAGAACACCGCTCTTGGTATCCTCGTGCAACTATGGTTTTGTAATCTAATTGTGCTTTTGGCCATGTAACTTACCTGGTGTACTAGGATTGTTTCACTTCTTTCTTTGTTCTATGAAATCATTATTAATTATAGAAAATGGTGCTTTTGGTTTTTAGATGAAGGATAAAGCATTGAGTTTTATTAATGAAACTATAATGAATAAGGAATAGCCAAATTGACATACTATTGCTTGATCTTACTCATAGTTTGGGACCTCTTTTTGGGATTCGGGCGAGTGAGGGAGAAGGCTACAACTGACACTTAATTGAATGGTTACTTATATTGATGGTTCAATGGCAGTCTGACAAAAATATGTGGAAAATACTTCTCAGCATGATCCCATCTTGTCCTTCCATCCAATGGTAGTGAGGAATAGGAACAATTAAGGAAACGATAACTAAAAGAACTTAATGGTGATTTGTTGAGCACAATCTTGAACCCTATGATCCAAGGAATTTCTAAGTATCTTACATATGAAAATTTATCCGGAGTCCCTTAAACCTATACAAGAAAGAGATTAACCAAAATGGTAGAAAGAGATTATCCAGTGCTCTGAGAATGATTACCCATATGTATGACCAACAGCAAGTTAAAGATGCGATTAGTAGATGAAGAGAATGGGAGCATGAACTAACATGCTGAAGTAACGCTTGTACAGGATAAAATATTCATCAAACTGTTTCAGAGTATATATTTTCTGGGGTTTTGTTAAGGAGTGCCTCGATAGCACTTGTTAAGCAGCTAAAGAAAGAAAGTTGCACCTTTCCTATGCAGTAATCTACTCATGTTATGTGTAATTAGTGGTTTGAAGATCGAAACATTTCTTATTAAGTATTAAAAAACTGCCCTAGGGGCACTTGTTAATAACAACCATTTTTCTGAGCTCATTTTCTCATTCTCCTGCCACCCTTCATCTTTTGATGCATAGGCTAGCACAGAAAACGTACAACAACTGCAACATAACTTCGAAATATATTAACTGATTCTGTAGGTAATCTAATATTGTTGTTATGGGACTCTACTCCTTACCAACATCATGCATAATGAAATGCCCCCTGATAGTAGCAACACGATATTTCTTCCGGAATCTCTCTTGGTTAAGGTGTCTGGATTTTGCCATATGGAATTTGAATCAGAACTTGTCTCCTCTTTTTGACTTGTTATGTTTGCTAAACGCTTGTGCTGCTAGATGTGCTTCCTTGTTTAGTAATAGTTGCTTTGAGTTATATGTTCTAATCATGAAAATACACTGCTAAAAGATGAAGTGATGCATGCTGTTCATCTGCTCAATGCTGCAGATTCAACTATTTAAGTGGGTGGTAGTGACATTATGCATTGCCTGATAGATAGAAATTTTTTCAGCCAATGAGGTTGGCTCATTCATTGCTTTAATCTTAGTCTGTGTGCAATTTAGTTGTACATGCCTTTTCCTTATCTCACTGAAGATCCAAAAACTCCTGCATCTTTCATACCGCTGCTTCTACAGATTGTATAGTTGCTCCAATTGTTTTTGGTCTTTTGAGATGCTTTGTTTGAAAACTTCATTAGGTTAATGTTGTAATTAGTGTCATATATGTCATGCTGTCTAAGAAATACGCTCGCATACATTGTCGGGATTTGAACTTTTCATATCTGGAGAAGTTTAACTTGCATTGTTGATTTATTGTCCTTAATAAGGGATGCTAGTTGTACTTGCCTCATGGTGGAAAGCTAATTAAGAAGATAGGCTGGTCGGTACTACTTTTCACCCCAGATTGTCTTCTGATTCACTGAAGTGTGCTTGTGGTTGATAAATGAGTCAAATGCCAGATGATAATTCCTCGAATCTTCTCTCAGACATGATGACCTAATTTTCTAGCTTTATATTGAACCGGTGGTGCTTTAATACACTTCATCAATGATGCTGTGGGATTAACTTGTGGAGTTTCTGAAATAAGAAGGATTAGTTACGTCTAATGTTGAAGGTCCATCCCAGTAACTATGTAATGGGACTACTTTCATGTAGAAATGAGGCGTTCCTTCAATTGAGAAGATTCGTTATGGAATTCTATCTCATGGCACATCTGTTTTAAGATGTGGTTGGGAGCTGAGCATTTCTTTTTAACGTGAACACATTTGTGCCCCACCAAAACTAATTTTTGCACAACCCAGAACACATTAAACACATGTACATAGTATGCAGTTTCACTCATTATTCATGTCTGAAATCTCATGGTTTTGAGCATTAAACACGTTGATATGCATTTACACAAGAACGTTGCTGATTAGTTCCTTATTAGAAAAATGCTGATTAGCTATTTTGTGTTGCATCTTGCAATCTGTATATAGTGATCAGCTTGTATTCATGCATTGAAATCGTGTCATGGTAGATCACCGAGCTGTGTTCTAGTTAGAATCCGTGTAATATGTCTAATTTATCATGACACAATTACGATTAGTAACTTGAATTGTCAACTCATATGGTGTTGATTTTCCCAGAATATCTAGGACAGGACAGAAAAAGATCACGGAGGAACAAACTCCAAATGATCACTTTCGAGGTTGCAAAGTTACGGAAGGCGAGTTAAACGCGTCGGTCGAGTTCGCGAGAAAAGAGGACAGGCAGTTAGCATCGGATTTTCCTTTGGCAAAAGTTATCAAAAAGGCATATACTCTTCATCCAATCACTTACCCTGTCTTGCCCAGTGACACAAAACTTCGGAGACCATCGTACGTTCCAAGTTGGCCAAGGAAAGATTACCAAAGCACATTGAAAAGTTCCACAAGCCAGAACACTTGATAATAATGAAACTTGTTAGGTATGATACAGCCAATAGGATGACATAAGCAAGAGACGGTCCCCTTAACCATCTAATTAAATAAGAGGAATAAAGAAATAAAGAAGCAAAGCAGATACTTGAAAAGGGCTCTCGTCGTTGAAGTATTGTGCTAGTCGTGGAATGCTTCAAAGGGATATCTGAAGAAACGTGACATCAGAAATTTGATAATGTAGAAAACTCAATTGTGCTCGAGTGATTCGTCGTGTTATTGATGAACTGATATGGACTCCTTTTGTTTAGTGTATCCTCTGATCATTCCCAACTTCACTCGGTTGTCTTGTTTGTGCTTATCCCTAATTTCGTTGTCGAGTCCTAAAATGTAAGAAAAAGAAGTAATGTGCTAGTTGTGGAATGCTTCAAAGGCCACGGAGCCTTGTGAGATATGTGAAGAAACGTGACATCGGAATTTGATAATTTAGAAAACTCAATTGTGCTTGAGTGATTTGTCATGCGATTGACGAACTGATATGGACTCTTTTTTGTTTAGTGCATCATCTCATCATTCCCAACTTCACTCGGTTGTCTTGTTTGTGCTTGCCCCTAATTTCGTTGTCGAGTCCTAAAACGCAAGAAAAAGAAGGTTGTGTGGTGTAATTAATAAACCGATTCTAGACAGAGAGAATGGAAAACAAATTTTGGGGCAAGAAAGCGCACCCGGAAGCTACTTCATCTTCTGAACTGTAGAAAACTTCAATTGGTCAAACCTCTAGAAAGGAGCACAAATGACAGCTAAAAGAGTGGCTGCCCAATATGTTAATCAAATTGGATGCAAACATTGACTTTGTCAAATGTGTCTCATTGTCTTCATTGGCCTTATCTAATGAGCATATGCCAATGCCAATCAGGAATACGATGAAGGTTGAAAAACCCAGAAAATGCCTCCCTCCATTTGCCTCTTTTTATAACATTGATTCAAGCTAAGTCAGCAGCATTTGGTATCACAGGTCATTGCATTCTTCTGAGTCCATCCATGGTGGTGATGGTGATGCCAACACTTATCAGATGAAGAGCCTCCAAAGCAGTATTCAACAAGCAGACCATGGGCTATATGTTAAACGAAGCACCAAATTCAGCTGACTTAGCTAATTGACTAATGTTCTAACGATATCAAATCAACCATAGCTCGAAGATAGAATCAAGCTCCGGAATAAAATGTATTGCTTCGGCCAAATTTCTTACTTTCTATGCGTGAATCCCGTGCCGATAGTTTTTTAGAAGCGTCGGCAAATTGCAAATCCTACCAGTAACTAAATGCTGATCGGCAACTTATTTAGCTTGGAATTTGTTGGTAAGTTGCCAGCATAATTATAGACGTACATATTGTTATTTAGTCTGAATTGTGTGAGTAAGTTACCAACTATAGTTACTTTGATTATTTCAAATTACCAACAAATTATTGAAGTAGTTGGTAATTTGAAAAGTGTCGGTACTCTCGTAATTATTGAAATAGTTGGTTAGTCTTGGAACTCTCGCAATAGCATTAGTAACTTTTCAATGTGTTACAGACTAAACAAGTTGCGGGTCAAAATATCGTCACCAGCACCGGACAATGTTCCGATTTCTACCATGTGCTTCGAAAGATCGTCCATACGTTCGGCCCGAGTAAGAAGCAACTGCGGAGGATGACGGCCGGTGCTAACCACACGCACACGGATTTTGGATGATTTATATTTCGGAATCTGGACAACTTAAATTAATATAGACAGGCTGAGTGCACACATAATTTACAGAAGTGTTTGGAAGGCATCAACCGGCAAATATCTATTGAGAACAAGTATGCATTGATCATAACTAGTGGAATTTCTACTGAAGCACCTGATTGAGGACTTAAAACCTGGTCCAAAACCCTCTTCAGCAATTCTATTCCTGTTGAATTATGGATATCTGAGTTGCCTTTTTGATTGCTTTTGCTGTCAACTTGGCCCTTTTGTGCATGTGCATTGCAATCAGATCAGATTCTTCTCTTGGACATAATTTATTATATTTTCAGAACTCAGAAATATAAAACAGTTTGATGATCACTTGATCTCGTGTTCATCAATTAATGTAATGTAAAAGGAATCTTGACAAACCCTTCTTCGCTCTGATCGATTCACTTCCCCGGCGCCGTGGCTGCCGTGGCTGCACTTGTGCTGATATTCTATTATACCAGTGCTATATCGCAGTAAACGGGAGTCGCTGTTGCTTGGTGGACATCATCACATCTCCATGATCAAGTCTTGCACACTTGGTTTTCGGTTTTTTTTTAGATTACCTTTTTCACTTTTCGTAAACGAGTGTAACAAGAGGACCCCATAAAAGAAATTAAATAACACAACAGAAGCAAAGGTATGAGCCTGTAGGAAGATGAAAGGGACATGGCTGTGAAGCTGAAGCCTGGAAGGATAAGTACATTTGTTTGAAACTTGAGAGGAACGGGAACACATGATTTGACCGGATGAATATGCGCTGTGTCATCGATTTTAACATGCTCCTTTTCTTTAAATTATCATCGGCCCTTTCGTGGATGGAGGGCGAAAAGCTTACCCGGACCCGCGAAAAATTATTAAATGATTTAAATCTCCGGTAGAAGTAATCTGGTTTTCAGCCTTTAGGATGACGGAACTGACAGGGGTGTGATTGAAAGTTGAAGCCTTGAAGTCTAATATATTAGTTAAGAACAAGGAAGACGAAAGGAAGGCCTGTGGTTTTTGGTGGTGGGGCTCTCCTGGCTTCAAGTCAAGAAAATCAAAACAATTGCCGTGTTAGGCTTGTCATAACCCTCGCAGTTTCGCAGTCTATTTATAGATATCAAGGGAAAAGTACCAGGAGTCTCGTGGAATATTTCTTCTCCCATTTCCACCAACCCCAACATTGACAAAACTCTGCCTATTCCATCTGTTCTTCTCTGTTTTCTTCTTCCTTTCCCAGCAACAGCAGCCAGAAATACCCAGAAAAAGGAAGTTAAGAGGGGGGCTGAATTTAGCAAATGGACGGTCTGATTCCAATGATGTACAGGGCAATAAAGAGGAAACGAGTTCGGAGCCGGTACGAGTGCTTGTCGGCCGGTGATGCTCAGGCGTTCAATGCTGCCGACTTCTACATGAATGGTCAGGTTCAGGCTCAGCCCCATTTGTATTTGGGGCCTGCCAGTGACAAGGCGATTCATAATCGGAGCCATCATCGCCGTTACGGCTCGACCGGAGATTATCCATTCGGGCTCACGCCCGGCGGCGACGAGGACGACATGAACGTGCTGAAGGGCGTTGCTGGTCCACATTCGAAGCAGGTGGTGAGGTTCAGACGAAGCCACAGCGTGCTCTCCTGTTTTACCGGTGCCTAGGTAGCTTTTGTTATGAATTTCTCAGTCTCTTGCTCCTCCCTTTTTTGTGGTTTGGTTTAGTTATGTGGTGAAGGTGCTAGCAAACATGAAGTCCCTGTTCAAGTCTGTAAATTTGGGTGCTCCTGAGACAGGGCAAGTCTTTTTTCTTTCTGGTTTCTTTTCCCCTTTTTTTGTTGGCCCTTCATGTATGACAAAGTTGATAAAGGAGAGGAACACCGTGGTGTTTCTCTTCGGGACGGCTTCAAGCAGAAGCTGCAGAATTTGGAAGCAAATGAGGTGAAATCTCATAAGCAATACAAAAGCTTCATTTTAATTGATGATGCAGAGAAGGTGGTCCTGATAATGTCGAATCCATTCAAGTCGATTGTGGTAATTTCTCCATGTGGTAGCAATTTTCTCAAAAGGTGTTAGTAATCTATTGCTAGTAACTTTTCGAGCAGATTAAGCGTGGTCATATGACCTTGGGGGAAGAAACCCTTTGAGCTATTTGTAAGTTCCTCGACCTTCGATTGTAACAACTCAAGATTAGATCGGTTCTAGACGAGGTCGACTTGGCTCGCAGTAGCTTAGGCATTCTGGTTTGAATCTCATCATGCTCTTGCCTTCTGGGTTTTGCCAGTTCAATTTGATGGCTTAAACTTCAAAATGCCTGAAGTTGTATAGAGATTCAGGGTTTCCCAGTTGGTAGGAGTTGTCCCCATCAGTATCCATAGGCTGGGCCTTGTTTTCCCCAACCAGTAACAAAGCATCAAAGAAAGGAGTAATCTTTCTTCTGCTCATATCTCTTGCTCATGCACTTTTGTAAGTTGTGATTGTGAATCATTTGAAACTTCAACATTTTCTTTGACTGGACAATTCATTCTAAATTAGTTCCTCTAAGAAAGAATCAGAAAAGGCAAGGTTTACCTGACGAGCCTTGTAAATTCCTACGATCTATGGCCGCGTTTGACCATTCCAACGTCGACGATCCAGGCACGTTCTAATGGCACATTGTAATAGGGGAAATGAATACTTGCTTGGGCCCGGGTCCAATCAAGAAATTCCAAGACGTAACAAAACAGAATAAACATCCTATGTTCGAGACATATTCCGCATTTAATTTCTCTTCATATTACGATTTCGAGAACAACATTGTGCGAACAAAGATGCAAAAGGAGACAAGAATGGATCTCGCATCAAGTAATTTGAGCATCAAATCGACTCATAAGTGAAGTAATCACAAAAAGTTGCCGTACCCAAATATAGATTCCAACATCTTATAGGACAAGCCAACCCGCCCAATCAACTGTCCAAGAATCTTGAAGTTACATTTACACCTCATTTCATACGCACCTAAATCATATGCAAACAGATTATTTTGTTTATAAATGCTATGCATGCAAAAAGAGTTGGCAAGAGTAAAAGAATGACCTTACTCGCACGCGACATAATTTCATTTTCTTAGCAAAAGTAGAGAAAAAAAGAAATATACGTTTTTCCTCCTATTCTAATTCTTTTTTTAGAGCAACAAAAGATATATATATATATATATATATATATATATATATATATATATATATATATATATATATATATATATATATATATATATATATATAAAAGCATTAGGAGCCAACAGGGTCACCGATCATATAAGTGAGATTCAAGGAACAAGTTTAAGATTATAACCACTAAAATTTCAAGAGAACATTTGGTGTATTTATAACCCAAGATTAAACATGGGGGATGAATTGAGCCTCACGTTCTGTAGCGAAAACCAGATACAGCTGAAAAATTCGTAATTATCAATGCCCAACAATAAAAAAATATTCACATGGAACAAAGTCCAACTTTATTTTGTCCCAATCGATCAAACACGATGGGGGAAAAGAACGAAATCGATTAGTTCAAGAACATAAGAAGTGTATATAATCTGGCAAACTCTATTCGAAAAGAACGACCAGCCAAAGAAAACAATCCAACCATCATGGACAGACACTTCTTTCTGTTCTCTTTATACCTGCTTGCTATGGTGATCTGCGGCTCAGCCGCTGACGGTGCTGGAGATATACTGCTGAAGAGCGAGCTTCTGTGCAGGCAATGCTCCAAATGCGACACGTCGACATGCCCACTGAGTGAAGCCTACCCCCACATGACCGCTTGGGACGACACTCTCATCGCCGGTGCTTTGCAATCCGATTATGTCGCCGCCGACGACAGAGGAGTTTATTCTGTCCCGAATGTTAAGGGTGGCGAGTCTGCCAAATACAATGCGTACTTTGGTTGGCAATCTACTTCTGGTTCGGCTTCTGGTTATCACAGGTAATGAAACAAACATAGCCAGAAGAAAAGGGACATCTGCAGGCGAATTTCTATTAGATTCAATATTAGAGGCGTTAATGTGTATTGCACTTATTTACACTCAATTACTCAATTATTAAGGTTGAACTAAACAAGGAAGTGGTTTGTGTTGTTTCGATTTCCAACAAACTTCCTACTCCAATGCCACACAGATTCAGCAACTACATGGACAAGTGCTCCGGAGGACAGAGTTACCTCACTGGGGACAAGCACGGGAAAGTGGGCCTGCGGTCATTGACTTCGCTAGAAAACATTGCCGATGCGGACTGGAAATCTATTAACCCACCGAAGAAGTACAACCACCGGGAATTTCGATTTTGGGTTTCCGGCAGTACTGGCAAATGCCTCACTGTTTTCAGCGGGAACAGTGAGAAACGAATAGTTGGAGTATCAGACTGCAAGTTTGATGGTTCCAATCCTTTCCAGCTCTTTGCCTTCCGGTTCCATTACCACAAGACCTTCTGCTGCTGTGGCCTTCACAATGAATAAATCGCCTAGGAATTAGTCCAAAACCACAGTGCAGTTTAAGCACAACAGTAGTCATAAGGGCCACATTATGTCAGCCAATATTTTCATCTGATTATGGACAATAATATGATGCAATGTAATTGTGCGTCAAGGCAACTCTCGATGTGTCCTATCACTCTTAAATAATGACTCCGACATCCATGAGTAGCTGTTGGAAGGGTGGAATTTCTTCAGGCATATGACCAGTGCTATGAAATGATGCTCGTGTACTTCAATTCCATTTATAGAATGATGACTACTTGTCATTACTCGAAATGCATGTATCTCCTTGTTTCCCTCCACAGAAACTTCTATTGACAGTGAATCTAAAGAACAGCAGTCTTACGACCTCCCCTAAGCTCTCCCAATAACACAATGTAGACCCACGACACAAGCAGCACAAATGAAAAGAGCTCATGCTATTCAAAGCATATAAATTCCGATGCACATTTAAAAATGAAGAATGGGAGTGATCAAGATGGAACAGTCTACTCAATGGTTTCATTGCTCTTCTTGACCACTTCACAACTTCACAAATTTGCAGTCAAATCAAACGAGCCTGTCATCACAACTATATGGTATGACAGCCCTTCTGTTCTGTTTATTCCAAGTTTCTTCAAAATAAATCCAAGTTATCCATGTCAAAGTCACCAATATACTAGTCATTCTCTCTTTCTTACTCTTTCTTATGGTGATTGGCAGTGCTTGTCTCCCTCAGACAATTCCTTACTCTTCCTCCTCTTCTCCTTCATTTTCTTCCTGAAGCCCTTGTCCTAGTCATTCTAAAGGCTACTTTTTCTCTTCCCACTTCTTTTCCAGCTTGATCTTCCTCTTTACTTACATACCCAAGAATCAGAATCAGATTCGTTACACTTATCCTTCCTCTTGATGATTTCTACTAATCCTCACATTTTCCCAGATCCTTCTGCAATTATTTACTCATTCCTAAATCAAAATAATTGAATGGAGCCCCGCTCATTTCTTCATGTTAGGCTGAGGTGGAGGGTTCAAGCCCCTCCTTTTCACCCTCACTATCGGCTGTATTATTCTGATTATCCTTACTATCTCTTCCTTTCCTTGATCCAGCCAAGGCACATTTCTAAATATGTGGTCTTAAGTCTTAATCACAACCCGACATTTTTCTTAATAGCCATCCTTAACTACAGAAACATCTAAATTAACCAGTCAGATATCCAACATCATCAAACTTCTTGCATGGATCCCGTGGCCGATTAGGTTCTTACTAACATAAGTAAGAGCCAATTCACCATGGAAACTTGCATGTGTTCTCGGCTTTATGATCGGAAAAAAGATTTTTCCTTACCAAGGCAATCAAAACAATTGTTATTGGGAGCAGAGGGCATGCAAACCCTACCTGTTATATAGCTACTATCTTCAAAGAGGAAGATTCTAATTGTACTAGTGAAATAAAAAAAAATCCACTGACATTCTCTAAAGTCTCATCCACCAATTCAGCCTAGATCAAGTAAAGATATGTATGAAAATCCAGAAATCACGTTGAAGGCTCAAACAGTTCATGGTGAAGGAAAACAAGTCACCTGCAACCAAAACTACCTAAATAACCACCAAAACTAGCTACGATAAACAAGATAAGCAGATCAATATAATTTAGAAAATAAACAGCGCATTCACATCAGTGACAGAACTGTTCCTGATACTTTCAACTGTCTGTGGATGCATTACCTGGTTTTGGATAAATGGAAGGAGTGCCAGTATATAGTTGGGAAGAATGAGTGCTATTAGATATTTTTGAGTCTCATATGATCAAAGGTTCCCTTTATGAATTTGGGCCTGCTGCAAAGCAAGAATTTGAATTCTAAAGGTGAAGAGGTAAACACATAAAATGCATTCAGACCAACCCATCCGTGTTCACCAATTTAAATTGTATTCCAAAATTAGTTTTAGTTAGAAACCCAGAACAGGGAATTATGTAATACTTGCTTTCCATCGAAACTGTTCATAAGTAAACCAACAGTAACAGTCGAGTGTGCTACATCAAAATTGTCAGCCTTCTGCAATGACGTGCACTGCAAGAAAAGCTAAGAGTAATAAGAATTACTAAGCTGGACTATGGATGTACTATACAATATATTCAAACAGATGGAATTGTTTCCTGGCTATCTTCACTGCTATTCAAACAAGGTGGCTTGGCTGCTCCATAGTAGAAGAACGCCATAATCTTTGAAAACTCATCTGCAGTTCGAATAGCTGGGTTGACAAGCCAAACAAGGGTCATAACCAGATTTATGTTGCAAGAAACCTTTCAAAAAAATTTGTATGAGCAGAAAGTACCCTTTTCACGATATAAAATCTTGCCAGCTTTAGTGAAGATAATCTCTGGAAAGATGGAAACTTGCAGAGCAGATACCAACTCAGGCTCCTTAATAGCGTCAACTGCAACACACTTTTTAACAAGACAGTAATAACAAGTCAGAAGCCTTTTTTTTTTTTTTTTGGTTGAAATGTCAGAAGCCATTAAAAAGGTGACAGATGATGGGAATTAGGCATAATGCTCCTTACTCTTGGTGAAGGTAGTCTGCAGTTCCAAATTATGTGCACGGCTTTCTCCAATTCATCCCTGATCTTTTCATTCTCTTTTGGCCTAAAAATAATTTCAAAGATCCAATAAGAAGCTTTCTTTCAGCAATGGTACAGTCGTAAACCATATAATCCAGGGTAAACAACCAAGATCTACACATTATCTACCTCCAAGAGCTTCAGCCATTTCAATGACATAAAGTAGCCAAACAAACATATTAAAAGAAAGTAATTTGCCACTTTTCTTTTCTAAACTTATCTAGGAAACAATCAAAAGATGTACATTTACATTTTGCCTTCCGATAATTCAAATGATCACTAGACACAACAGAAACCCAACCAATCACAGCACTGGTAAAAGTGAGTTCAAGATACTAGCATTTTCATGTTTTGCAAGCCAACATACTTAGCTAATGAATTCATAGCTTCCAAAAATGAGTCAGAAAATCATTTAACTGGAAGCAAATCAACTCAAGTGACTTCGTCGCGCAAGAACTACAAAAAGTGACAGACAAGAAACTGCAACTGTGCATGCTACTATCACCTTAAACTATGCTTCCAAAAGGGGAAAAATGTTAAAAAAGTGAGCATCGTGTACTCTCTCAAACAACAAAGAAAGAAAGTGGCAGTGATTTCCCATACGAAAAGACAAGTATGACACCTTTTAAATAGCTTGGAAGGCCTTACATGTATTGACTTGCAAGCAACAGAATTGTGGAAAGATGAACAATGAGAACCAAATACTGACCTCTTGTAGCGGTTATGTACAAGAACAATCAAAGGACTAATATCCTTGAAAACGGCTTCCTCCCATTCAGCAGTAGTGATATCTTTGATGGGGCGGATATAATTATCATCTTGCCACACAATTTCATTTTCGCTGTCATAATTTTCATCATCTTCCTTCCTAACGTTCTTTATGGTGATTTTGTTGAAGAATTGGTCCAAATTGAAACCCCGACCATCAGCATCATCAGGCCAATCAGGATCATCCTCCTCCACAACGAGGGGATAATCAGCCAGGAGCTTCTGCATCTTCCTCCTCCTCTCGTCAAGGTCTATCTCCTCCTCAACATCAGGATATTTATTGATCACTTCTCTAATTTTCCTTCTCCACTCTTGCCTCTCTTCAGAATCCATGAGGTGAGGGTCATTGTCCTTCGCCTCATCATCTTGCTCCTCGTACTCAGAATCACTACTATCATCATCTTGCTCTTTCTTTCCACCAACAAATTTGGGATTATGAGACGTTTTAGAAGCTCCAACGACAATGCTTTTCATATACGTACCCTAATTAGCACGGAAGATAAGAATGAGAGCCAATACGAAATTAAGCATTGAAAGAACTTAAGTGGACGCCAAAGAATCGCACCCGCTGATGTGCCTGCAGAATATTTGAGGAGACACTAAACCATCTCTCTGTATTCTTCAATGGAGTCTTGAAGCTAGAAAGTAAAGTAGAAATTGTTCTGCTGCCTTTCAGAGTGCAAAACGGAACTTGAAGAATACTTGCTTGTTGTAGTGCCATTTCTACAAAAAGCCAATACCAATCAAGTATGACTACAGTACCCGATATCGTCGTCTATCAACAACAAGTTTTGAGAAAATAACTAACAAAAGAATAAAAAAAGTTCATTGGCTCAACCACATCATATTATTATTGGCACACCCCAATTCCAAGCTGAGTACAGGGACCCAAACGGCGGTAACGTGAAGAACGGAGGCATACCCAGTGACCATTACAGCAGACGAGCCTTACAACATATAGATTATGAACTGGTTAGAGGTTTCAGAGCAGTGATATCCGCGAAAATACAACCCAGCAGCTATAGCCATCATTTCCACCAAAGGAAAAAAACAAAAAGAAAAACCATAGCCATCATGAAAAGTTAATGAAAATCGAGGAACCAACTGCTGAAATTTCTTACCCAGAGCTTGGGAATGGGCTCTGTCCCACAAGTCTGCGTTCAGCTTCTGCAAGTCCCTCTCTTTCTCTCTCTACTTCTCCCCTCTCTCTCTCTCTCTCTCTCTCTCTCTCTCTCTCTCTCTGTGCCTCTTCACCAAAGCTGAAGATGGGTAAAGTTAGCTAATCACCAGCGTGCGGCATACTCACAGTACAAATACACTAGTTGGGATTAGGAGGGTGCAGGGGAGCTGCTTTTCTACGAGAATGGCAAGTGGGCAATGGAATTTATGTACGTGCTCGAGGCGTGGAGAGAGCAAGAAGAAGAAGAAATGGAGACGCATACAAGAAGCTGCAGACAAGTGGGTAGCGGAGACTGACCTTCAACTCTGGCTGGTTTGGCTTGGAGCTGTGTGGAATCTGGTGGTGCATAACCTCGCCTGCTGAGAGAGGAGAACAGGGGATGGTCCGAACATGTAAAAATCTGTGCTTTTTCCGTATCTTCTTTTTTTTTTTCAAAATTGAAAATAGAAAACGAATTATATCTTTCAAGTTTTAGAAAATCGTGAAAATTTACATTTCATATGTCAATATTGATATTATGAATTTTAAGAGATTTTGGATATTGCATTGTGGAAGTTGTGAAATTTGCAATAAAGAATAAGTTGCAAACAAGATGAAAACCTCATATTTAAACCTTATAAAACTGTAAATTTTTTTGTTTTATCTTTTGCATGTCACAAGCATAGCGTAAAAAGTTCTTGTTTTTTAATTTATTTAAATTGGATAAAGTGTTGAAAATTTAAAGTGGGATTGACTTTGATCCACAGAAACTAGTTAGAAGGCAAAAACCTCCAATATCGTTGTTAATTCACGATGGGTGTTTTTTGAGACGTCCGATAAAAATAGATCGTTAATTCACGGCGAAAACATACTTCTTAATTCTTATACCTGTCGTCGCCCGTCGGGGATGCAAGGGAATCTTTCGCGACGGATAGACGACATTTGCAAAGAGCGTTCTTAGTTCCAAACGGCCAGATTAACGCAATCTCCATGCTCTCGCTCAAGAGTGAGTGGTACGATCTCTCACAGACAGTGTGTACTTGAGTATAGGAGCAACAGCAACTTTAACATTGGCTTGTCTCTCTGTTTTGTGTTTGCAACAACCGACCATGCATAGTGCGTCGATCTTGCGTTTTGTTCGTGATTTGCATAACATAAAGGGATGCTAAAAGTGAGTTTCGTGTAGTTTTGTATAAGATAGCTATGAAGTAAAAAAAAAAAAACAAAGGGAGTTACTGTTCGTCGTCTTGTAGAGGGCTCAGGCAAGAGCTCCGAGGGCCGTTGCAAGCACAGGCGAGGGCTCCGATGTCGACCGTCGGCAACCATCGACACTCGACCATCATTGTCACTCGACCTTCAGATTTTGCCTAACAGTTGCGAGTGAGGGCAACGTTGGAGAAGATGAACCAGGTGGAGACCCTCGGCAAGCAACCCTCAATGGAGATCCAAGTCACATGACCCTAGGCGAGTGCCACCGGAGTTGAGCGACACTGGACAATGGGCCGCTGAGGTCGCGCGACCTCAGGGCGATCCAGATCTGGCCCTTCGATGATTGGTGCGACCCAAGCTAGGGTTGCCAAGGATGCACAACGCCAGGTGAGGCAACACCGAGGCCACGCAACCTCAGCAATCACCGTCCAAAGTTGAAGAAGATAGACAACCATGGGTTGAAGAAGATGATGGGTCAACCCTTGACCCGTGCGACTTCGACAGTCGACCCTTGACCTATGCAATCTCAAACTAGGCGACCTCAACCTCGGCAACAAGGACCGCAACATCAGCAACCAGCAAGCATAGAGACCATATGTTGAAGAAGACGAGACGCTGGGATAAAGAAGATGAACAGTGTTTCTCAAGTGCAAGAGTGCAATGCAAAATTATCAGTAAGAGCAAACTAGAAGGGAAAATAAAAAAGTCATTAAACCCCACAATACCATTCTGAAAACTCTGAAAAGCCCATGGCTTAAGCTTTTAGTTTTCCCAATGCTAGCATTTTCACAAAGTGATCCAAAAAAGGTTTGCCAAACGACCTAACTTTTTTCGAAGAGGCTTTAGAGACACAAAGTCCCATGAAAAAGTTGAACCAAAATGATTGGCAGTAATGAAGATGAGATTAGCGAATTGAAGATAGTAGGCTACCCCCGATTATTAATGGTTTAAATGGGCATCAAAATAATTCATCGATTATGACCAGCACAACAACTCATGTTCCTACACAGTCGGTAAAGACCCTTCTACTCGAGGATGATTTGAAGTATAAAAAATTTCCCCTCGCTTAATCTCCGCAAATGCACACATGTTAGCAATGCAAAATGAAAAGTTCTAGGAATTCAATGCACAAAAACTTTCAAGTCTACGGATAAAAGAAAATTAGGTAGCATCAAGTGCATTAAATGTCATGGCATCATCAGCTGTCACAGACGGAAGCAACCAAGCGAAGAAACCGAGCTTAGTTTCTTGCTTGAATCTTTGCGACGAGTACTCCACCATCATATTCCAAAGGTCTCCCACTGTCCATCCGTGCAACAATATCCATCGACTCACCTGCTCGTCATCATAAAAAAGACAGCCGATCTCCTTTAACATTGGATTCACAAATTCAAGCAGTCAAAGAAAAATAATTAACAACCATAATTTAAGGCAACAGACTAGGTAAAGTATGAATAACACCATCCCGTTTGATATTATACACCTGCTAAAAAATACAGCCGAAAAGCAAACAAGGGGATAATCTTAAAAAAAGCTTGGAAACTGAACTTTACTTGTAGAAAATAACTGGTGTCAATACTATAAATCTGTACGCACTTTAAAGTCAATAGACTCTTAGTGTAAGAAGAATGCAACAGAAATTGGAAAAATCTTACTAAAACTACCGTCATTGAACTGAACCATGCGAAATAACAAAAAGTACCTGACGTAGGTTCTGCAATGCCTCCACACCGAATGTATAATATGAAATGAAGGGTCTCAATGCCTGAAAATTGTACAGATAGACATGAATCTAATGAAAGAAAAATGTCAAAACATCTGTTCTTAAAAGAGACATCGATGCCCTATGCATTCCATCAACTGATGGAATCCGTTGAAAATTTGGCAAAGTAAGAGCAAACTATTATGGCCAAGCAAAAGAAAAGAATAGGACAACGTTTAAGTCAACAAAGATGAAATCCTCATATTGCGAAATCTTTGTTTTAAGATAACTGAAGAACCTAGTTCTACATGATCAATGCCAATGCAAGAGGCTCAGTTGCTAACATATATTACCTCGCACTGCCTACCTCCTATTGTCAAAACTTCAGCTAGGTTGTCCAATGTATAGTTTTTCATTTTCCAGCAAAAGATAACAACAGACAAACCATAAGGAAAATCCAAAAGAGCTATTTATGGAATACTAAAATGGCTGATTTTAATTTTCCCCTGCCAAGTTTTCCCCAAACGATTTCTTCAGCTAAACAAGAGAATTCGATACGAAGAACATTCAGCTAAATCATCCTACTCTTACCTTATACTTTCCTCTTGGTTATCTAGTTTTCAGGCCTCTGACCCAATCCTTAATACACAGTTGACCAATTTCTACAGAAAAATATCTCTCTGAACTGGCAACTCTAGTTTCTTCAGATAAATCCACGTCATCCCCTTAAATACTGTACTGGGTTCATCTGTTCAATCACTTCCAACTCATTAAAAAACCTCACATAGTGAAATGATTTAATTAACCAGAAAAGCAGGGTTCAACAATGGGCAAATAAAATCTGACCAATTTATCAATGAAAACCCTTAAGCTTCAATTATCACAGACGATAGTTTGACAAGTGTCCATACTCCATCTTCTTCGTGTTTTTTGCAACATTCTAATGCCTTGTTTTAAACTTAATTATGACATATACTGACTGTACTAAAGCTGGAAATTGACCTAGTCTGACCACCATAGTAAGAAAAAAGGCTGCCAGAAACCACCTTCACATGTCTTCTTATTAATTGACTCCTTCATCTACACATTGACAACCACAATAACATAGCGTCAAAACCTTCATTTATTTTACACGGCAAAAGTCCAGAAGCCAATGGCAATGTCTATGATGGGCCAATTCACAAGTTTAAGTCCTCTCTGCAGACCATAGCAGCTGAATAGATTTGATAGTCATCACCAACATTTGGTCTGGCTTGGTTCAGATTATTCATTGAACTAGGTTAGCTCATTTTAAAGTTCGTGAGCATAGGCGGGCTTGGATGATGGATTTCCTTCCTGGTCCATCCACCTCGAGTATTCTCATGTAATCTTTCTAGCTTTTTAAGGTACTTCCATTAATTGAATGGGTCCAAAAAAGATAGAGGGGATGGTATGGCCAAATAACGAAACCTTAGAATTGGCCGGATCAGCCATGATTGCCCAACCGCTCTAAAAATCTGGTTCACAAAGAAAATAAAGCTTTCTCCTCTTTAGGCTATTGACCGTAAGCTTGTCTCTTCTTTTCTTTTCATATACATCAAAAAGACCGATATATAAGTGTGGGCCACCTATAATGAAGTATTTTTGCCACTAACTATTTTGGCACTATTTAAACTAATCCCATGTTTCAATGTTGTATCTCATACCACATCCTTTTTTTCTGAAAAGTTGTTCCTGTTTGGTTATGATCAAACATTTCTACTCACAAACAAACTTCTTGTCCTGTACCTGCATTCTCGAAACTTCAAGCATCCTCATGCTATCGTTGGAAAACTTCAAACTGATCATTCAACTATACTTGTTATCGTAGTTAAGATGTTATGTACTGATGTATGTGTTGACATCAGATAAACCTGCTCACTCATATTTAGCGTTGCCACATCAAAGAAAATGATTGTCAATTGTAAGATATTGCTAAAGTTAAAAGGATAACATCACCTGAGAAGCAGCAAGCCACTGAATCATGCTCTTCAGCTCAGGATCACCTCCAAAGGCTCCACAACCCCAGTTCCCTGTCACAACTCCAATATTGTCTTCATCGTCGGGTATATGAGTTAAAGCCTCGGCATTTGGGACCTCTTTGTCCCCTGCTCCACCTTCAGTTCTTGCAAATGTTGCAGGATCTTTCTGGAGCTATCCAAAAATTGACAACATCCTCAGATAAGTAGAACTGGATTTACATATATATAAAGGCAATGACTTAACAAAAGAAGAAATTGATACTGCAAAATGTGAAAAATCCCTGACCAAAGCATCATCCCCAGATACATGATTTGAGACTTGGACTTGGCCATCAACCAATCCAGCTAAACAATTTTCCTGGAAGACCCTCTCATACAACTGATACTTGGAGTCATCAGAGAAGCCACAAAATGCCTTATTAATCTCCCTGTGATTGCAACAAGCAAGTCTCACAGTTTTAAAAACATAAAT